TCTTCCGTATCACATTAATGACATCTTAGATTTTTAGGCTTCAAGGGTTAACAAAATTATCATGGTTAGCAGTGGTGGACTTCAATGCCATGAGAGCAGATATTTGGATAACTAATTGAAGATCAACTGAATGGCAACTCTGGATATCAGAGAATTCAGAAAGTCAGCAACATCAGGTTCTTTGGGTAAAGACAGGTCCGTGACCAGCCAGAAGACAGAATTAATTTATTTAGATTAGAGATACAACGGATTTCCAAACATGCCTGTACTTAACAATAAAAAGCTGAGGTCACAAATACAAGAAAAACTAACGGCTATACTGCGAACATTCTATCGTTCCCTTTCTTTAAATAAACAGCCAGTTTTTTTGGCAGTTAAATAATCCTCAAAGCACAGATCTAAAGTGCTCTAAAAAGTAAATATAGTGGTTTTCTGCATTAAAACAACATACCTGTTTCAAGATATCAGCTAGCTTTCCCATTATCTTTTTCCAAATCGGCACGAAAGTAGAGGGAAGACCACATATGCTGTTTTCACTCATTAGTTGGCATGAATGTCACTTACAGGCAGAAACTTGCAACTAAAAACCTGGAATTCAGAAAATACAAGCCTGCAGTTTTCAAAGTGACACTTTTAGAATAGAATAATCAAGGGCAGTAAAAGAGTAGCAACAGGGAAAAATAAAGGGAAAGAGAAGCAAAAAGGGAAAAAGAAAAGGAAAAAGAAGCAAACCAGTAAAAGCAATAAACATTACACTATATTTTACTGCTTAAAGAAAGGCAATGATCTGCAAAGATAAACAGAAGGCAAGCATTGAATTATGGATTGGGTATCAAGTGACGCTTTGACTGAATTATGACTGTTTAAAAAAAAAACATGCAATTCTGTTTTACAAACTGAGCAACAGACAATCCCAAGAAATCTTGCTTGCAGTTGGCAAGGAGGGGTTTTGCAGAATTAATAGGTCTGGTCTGTCCACCAATGATCGGAAAGATCTGAAAAGTTTTCTAAGACCAGCCCAAGGAAAAAATTAACCTCAGGATTAATGGATTCCAACTCATGTCATACTGAAAGTAATCCCAAGAGTCTGTTGACCAGTTTGTTGGAAGATGCCACATCAAAGATGTGAGCACTGTCTTTCTGAAGAGCTACAGTCAGACAGGCTCATTGACTTAGTTATGGTCTCTACACCAATTAAAGCTTTTAGTAACGCTCTTCCGGGGAAGGAAAAGAGCCCTATGGTTGATGCCATACTTGAGGATGGACACAAATAAGGAGTCATTGTGGCAGGCCAACAACAATTACATGTTATTGGTGCAGCCAACACTTTGCCACTGTCAGCAAAATACACCGAACCAACCAAATCAAAATCAGATGTGGTTTGCTGCACCTACAAAAAAGACTATCCAGTTTTTGTTAATATCTTGAAAGCAGGTGGCACCTAGGGATATTGGGCACGCACCTTCATCTGGTTTTTAAGGCTAATTCAGAGCCTGGAGCAAATCACAGGTGACCAACAAGATGGTACACTGGTAGCAAGGAAAGTGTTAAAAAAGTGCACATATACAAACACATCTGTGAGATTTAGAGACAACCAAGTGAAATGTAAATTTCAGAAGATGACCAAGTTTACCATATCATTAGCCTTAGCCAGCATGTCAGTGGTATAAAGCAATCAGAAGCTTTTATGACCATTAATATCATGTGGATTGAAAAGGCAGGATGACAAATTAATAGCAAAAATTGACACAGGACCAGTGGCTATGTCACTGGACTAGTAATCCAGAACCCTATGCCAATGTTCTGGGGGAAATGGTTTCATATCCCACTGTGGCAGTTGGTGAGATTTGAATTCAATAAAAACCTGGTTTAGTGAGCTAGCCTAATGGAAATCATGTCATCAAAACCCATTGGTTCATTAATGAGCTCAAGGGCATTAGAACACTGGAGTACAAGATTGTGCTGCAGAGCACCACATCTTAGGAAGAATGTATTGGAGTAAAACATAGGTTTATAATAATGATACCTACACTTCAAGGTTGTGAGGAGAGATTATACAAATTAGGCTTGTTTTCTATAGAATTTAGAAGGTTAGAGGGTGATCTGATTGAGGACTTCAACCTCTAAGATCAACATATCCTTCCTAAGATGTGGTGCCCAGATCGGCTGACAGTACTCCAAATGGGGGTCAAGCCAAGGTTTGTACAACTGCAGCATAGCCTCTGCAGAACATTCTTGCACTTGTGTTCTAATGCCCTCAAGCGCATTAATGGGTTAATGGCAAATGGGTTTTTATGATATGATTTCCATTAGGTTAGCTCACTATTCCAAGTTTTTATTGAATTCAAATTTCACCATCTGCCACAGTGGGATTTGAAATTATTTCCCCAGACCCATTAGCATACGGTTCTGGATAACTAGTTAAATGTTCAGGATATTAATGGGAAAAGACAGGGTACACAAACTATTTCCACTGGTTGGGGATTCTAGAACTCAGGGGCATAGTCTGAGAATTAGGGCCAGACCGTTCAGGAGTTAGGAAGCACTTCTATGCAGAAAGGGTGGTAGATGTTTGGAACTCTCTTCCACAAACTGCTGTGGATGCAGGATCACTTGTTCATTTCAAATCTGAGACGGATAATGTTTGTTAAGCAAAGCAATTAAGCGGCATGGGCCAAAAGCAGGTATATGGAGTGAGGCCACAGATCAGCCATGATATCACTGAATGATAGAACAGGTTCAAGGGTCTGAAAGGCCTACTCCTGTTTTTATGTTCCTATAAATTTGTTGTCCTTACCCAGTCTGGCCTATATGTGACTCCAGACACACAGCAATATGGTTGACTCTTGACTGTCCAATTAGGGATGGGCAATAAATGCTGGTCCAGATAGTGATGCCTGCAATGAACAAATTAAACAAAAATAGAGGCAGAAACATCCCAGTCCGAAATGAGAACTGCTAAGTAAAGGGAACCACATTTTTTACTCCAAGTGTAGCTACTGAACATGAGCAAATTGAGCTACGACATAATGATGTTAGGGATGCCTGTACCTGGGGGAAGCAATGGCCTAATGACAATTATCACTGGACTGTTAATCCAGAGACCCAGATAATGTTCCAGGTTTGAATCCTGCCACAGCAGATGGTGGGATTTGAATTCAATAAAAATCTGTAATTAAGAGTCTAATGATGACCATGAATCCATTGTTGATTGTCAGAAGAAAAACCCATCTGCTTCACTAATGTTCTTTAGGGAAGGAAACTGCCATCCTCACCTAGTTTGGCCTATGTTCTCTGTCTCTCAAGTCATCACTTACCATGCTCACTGCCAGACCTCCTGTGGTTATGTTTAATAAAGCCACCCAGATGAATATTGGCTTACTGCAGAAGATCTGGCAGTGAGAATGGTAAGCAATGACTTGAGAAACAAAGAGCAAAGTTCAATAATGGGAGCTCCTTAGCTGATTGGAAGATAGTAAAGAAGAGGCCCTATCTCAAAATAAAAACTTTTGTTGATAGTTCCTGATTCTACTTGACCCTGCCATGATATTCCCAAAAAAACCTTTTTTTAAAAATTCATTTGTGGGACATGGGCATTGGCTGTCCCTAGTTGCCCTTGTGAAGGTGGTGGTGAGCTGCAGTCTATGCGCTGTTGGTAGACCCATGATGCCCTTCGGGAGGGAATTCCAGGATTTTAACTCCGCAACAGTGATAGATTTCCAAGTCAGGCTGGTGAGTAGCTTGGAGGGGAACTTGCAGGGGGTGGTGTTCCCATGTATCTGCTGCCCTTGTCCTTCTAGATGGAAGTGGTTGTAGGTTTGGAAGGTGCTGTCTGAGGATCTTTGATGAATTTCTGCAGCGCATTTTGTAGACAGCATACACAGCTGCTACTCAGTGTCGGGGGTGGAGGGAGTGCTTGTTTCTGGATGTGGTGACAATCAAGTGGACTCCTTTGTCCTGGATATTGTCAAGCTTCTCGAGTGTTGTTGCAGCTGCAGTCATCCAGGCAAGTATTTCATCACATGCCTGCCTCGTGCCTTGTAAACGTGGACTGCAAAACTCTTGAGAGTTGCTGTGAATCATGAGTTATGAGGGATATACTGGGTGTGACAGAAAAAAAAGCAGCCGTCACATTACTGAAAGAGATTGGATTCATGTCCACAAGCACATATTGCGCTGTGGGCATTATTATCCTATCAAATCTGACAGATCTTACAAGTGCTGTAAATTCTTTACTCATCCAGAGGAAGCGCTGTAGGGGCACTAATTCCACACAGCACCAGAATGTAGTGAGAACTTCCACCCTTACGGTAAACCCAATGAAAAAATTACTTAGATAGCAAGAACTGCAGATGCTGGAGTCAGAGATAGCAAAGTGTAGAGGTGGAGGAACACGGCAGGCCAGGCAGCACCAGAAGAACAGGAAAGCTGACGTTTCAGGTCGGGACCCTTCTTCAGAAATGGCTTGGTTACTTAGAATAAGTCATTTAGTAGTGTCAGGAAAACAGTTACATCCCCTTCAACAAATTCATAATTAGCTTTAGTAGCCCTGAAGAGCTAATTTTGTATTCTGGAATATAAAGTTTCTCTGTACACAAAAATGCACTCATTTAAAAAGATACTTTTCTCTTTCTTGAAATCCTTACATTTAGTTTAGCATCTACCTAATTTAGTCATAATTTATTTCGGTACCTGAAAATTTAAATTGTGATTTTAACTTCCTCACTAGCTACATGTCGATAGCTCAAGGCTATCTGCTTGACTTGTCACCAAGTTTAAACTGTTGTGAACAAAAGGCTAAACCATGCCACAGAAATAGCTTTTGAGGTTAGTGGCAAGCATTCTGGTTTTGATGTAGATTGCAAGAGTTTGGTGGCAATGTGCCTGAGGGACTACTACTGGCTCAGCATTGTTAACCCAAATAAAAACTGAAAGAACCGTGGATCTTGTTAACCCAAATGGTACTCTGTACCCTCCGTTCACGTCAGTAGTTGTACATGTATTGGTTGACAATTTTATTTCTGATTTAAGTACAGCATTGAAACGTAAGGAGTAAAAATGAAAACAATGTTCAGATTTTAAGTAACATTTAGGTAAAATTTAAAATACATTCAGCATCTAGAAATGACTGATCAGTATCTCAGCATTTTCATCACTTTCACACAGTTTTAAAATGGTCTGGTCCACAACAAATCACCAAACACTCCTCTTGCTGTCTTTCCCATGCAGTCACTGAGGGCTCTTCCATATGTTAGATAGTATCTGTCATTGACTGTTACAAGCATTTCCTTATTAATGCAAGCTTTCAAGGATCAACGAGTACGACTGTAAGAGCCGGTACAGATTTGATGGGTCAAATGGCTTCCTTCTGTGCTGCAAAGACTCCATGACAACAGATAGATTCCTCGCAGCTTCTGCATGTGGACCACTGGGCAATATTACAACCATTCAAACGCCATCACCGGAATGAAGCATTCAAAGTGTGTCTCCCACATGCAACCATCACAACACTACACAGATTGAGACTTCCACTCCACTGAAGAATCGATTAGGGCCACCATCAGCTTATGCTGGACATTGCAGTGATCTCATGGCAAATTTGGAACAATGGTTTCTATGCTCTTTGCTTTAATATATTTATTACATAATAGTATAGCCAGTGCGATTATCATTAATACACTGCCCACAATACTAATTGAGGGAGTTATCCAGTGCAATTTTGACATCGAAGTGCCACATTCTGAAAACAGAAATTTTAAAAAAAAAAAGAAGAGAAAAGGAAAGTTTTATTAATTGAATATAAGGAAACACAAAAACAATATACCATAAAACTGAGGCAGAAAGTACTGCAAGAATTCAATAAGTCTGGCACCATCTATGGAGACAGAAACCAAGTTAACATTTTGGAGTTTGAAAATGACTTCTCTCTGTCCACTGATGAGAACAGGCTTGGTGACTTTCTCTAGCACTTTGCTTTTATTTCAGATTGAAAGCATCTGCAGCATGTTGCTTTTAATTCTTCTTCAAAAACAGCTTGCATTAATTTTGAACGCAGCTTACTGGTGGGTAGTTAGCATTAGAATGATGAGAATCAACAAATTATTTAACTACTCCATCTGATATTAAGTGTACCATCCAGGCAAGTTTCCCTTCCTTTTTTTTTTATTTTGTAGACTAATTTTCCAAAATAATAAATTGTGACTCAATCTTTGACCATAATATAGTGGGCTCAACTGTAATTGTGGCTGATGATGCATGCATCTGCAAAGCAATAAAACTGTCAGCTGGGATGTTTCCAGCGTGACATATACTGTGTAAGGATGCTACATGATTGAATTTGAGAATATTATGATTGCCATTCAGAAAATATTCACTCATCATTCGACTATTAATTAAATCTGGCTTATTATTATTAATTACCAAAATACAATATGTTCCATTTGCTTATTGGTACCAGGAGATAAGCATGAAGGGGTGAAAAAGTGGAGGCATCAAACATTTGGATTCCTTGATCTGATATTGGCGGGGGTGGGGCGTCGGGTCCTAACCCAATTTACATCCCAAAGATATTTTTAAAAATCCTTAAAACCTCCAGTGCCTTCCTAGATCTGTTCATGTGCTCAACATATGCTACATAAGCTGCTAACAGTTGGAATAATAGTACCAATATGACAACTGGCCTACATACCCTGGTGACTGATTCTGTAATTGCACTTTTGTGGACAAAAAGGTCTGTTAAAGCCCACTATTAATCTACACCCAAGCAATGACATGTAGGAGTGTTATCATAGCCTCAGACCTTCAGGAGAGACAAAAAATTGGTGAGGATAGAAAAACAAAATCTTACCTTTAGCTATCAAAGTAAATGTCCTAGAGATGGTTTGATTAACAACCACATTTCTTAAAACAAACGTATAGGTTGAATTGTTCTCCATGCTGTTGATTTCCATGGTGCTTTGGACTGTGTACAGTCCATCAGCATCTTGCCGGTAGGAAGTGTTGGACAAAAAGGAAGCATCTTTGTTGTCTCCAATGTACCAAGAAATATCAGCCTTAGGGTAGCCACTGGACTCAAACGTTAAACTGGTGCTGGATGGTTTCTGCTTGATGATTAGCCTTGGCTCACTGTAGAATGCTGTGAAATTCAATAAATCAGTCAAGATTTACTTCCTCAGTAATAAATGACACAACTATTGCCTTTTGCAATGGCCCTCTAAGTCCTGCAGGCAGTGTGGAAATGTCATAATGCTATTAATGATGACAATGCACTGGCTCATGCAGAATGGAAGTTAGTATCACTTAAAGCCAGACCTCACCTCTAAAGGGCGAGGTGGATTCTGGCTGGTGACTCTGCACACACCATACCTCAATGGTGAGATATGTCAAAATTACAATAAATGGTAACTCACCCAGTGTGCATCATTCCCAATTATCCTGGCAGGAATCATGACGGGTTTATTTTGAACAAGGATCCTGTTGAACTAAGTCAATCACCTTCACAATCCCTGGCAGTCCAATCCTCACCCAGCTCTAAGGCTGTAGATCTGGTTCCAAGATGTGGTAACATTCTTTGTGTGTTGCACAACAAGCACACAGCTTTTGGATTAGGTGAAAGGTATGAGAAATGCTCACGGAAAGCCTTAGGTATATAAACCATCTTCCGTGCCATTCCTGCCTGAATTACGGTGGCTCAGTGGTTAGCGCTGCTGCCTCACAGCACCAGGGACCCAGATTTGATTCCAGCCTTGTGTGACTGTCTCTGTGGAGTTTGCACATTCTCTTTGTGTCTGTGTGGGTTGCCTCTGGGTACTTCACTTTCCCTCCACAGTCCAAAGATGTCCAGGATGTGTGGATTGACTGTGATAAATTGCCCAGTGTCCAAAGATGTGTAGGCTAGGTGGGTTAGCCATGGGAAATGCAATATTATGGGTCTGGGCGGGATGCTCTTCAGAAGGTTGGTGCAGACTGAATGGGTTGAATGGCCTCCATCTGCACCAATGGATTCTATGAGTTGTAGGTCATGCTAGCCATGCTTGCATCTGGAATCCTTGCTGAATGTGCAGCCCATCAACGCACATGCGTGGTAACAAAGGGACATGTTTCTGCATTGCTGTAACTGAGAGTAATTTTTGGATATACAATACAACACAGGAACAGACCCTTCAGCCCACTAAGCCTGCACCAATTCCTACTCCTTACTTAAACCTGCTACTTATTGCCCATACGCAGTTTCTATCCTTCTGTTCGCCTCCATTTCATGCATCTATCAAGACATGCCTTAAACATTGCTAAAGTGCCCGCTTCCACCACCTTCAATGGCGTTGCATTCCAGGCTACCTACCCTAATTATGCCTCTCATAACTTTGTTGACCTCTATCAGGTCATCCCTCACCCTCTGTGTTCCAGTGAAAACAATCCAAGTTTATCCAACCTCTCCTCATAACTAAAATGCTCCAAACCAGGCAACATCCTGGCTAACCTCTGCACCCTTACCAAAGCATCCACATCCTTCTGGCAGTATGGCAAACAGAACTGCATGCAATATTCCAAATGTGACCTAACTAAACTTTTATACAGCTGTAACATAATTTGTCAACTTTTATATTCGATGTCTTGCCTGGTCTTAGGGAAAAAGTAAATAAAGGGCCAGAGATCATAGAACCAGCCAAGAAGAATATTTGATGGGCAGATCCTTCTTGATCTGGTCTTGAATTATTTAGATGTAAGTAAAAATTGTTGTGAACATTGAGAATCACATTTTGTATTGCTTTTGGATGTATCCAGGGAAAAGATTATAATCCCTCAAATGCTGTAAAAATCAATTTCTGAACTCATTTGTTCACTCCCTTCTCTAAGTGAACTTTTAACAGGATCAGGAGGAGGATGGGGCTCACTGACTGCTTATTTGAATGTACTGAAGTAGTGTTTAAACAGTTCAATTTAAGTTCTCTCATTCTCTGTACCTCTGGTTTTAATTTTAACATTATTATGCATTTATACATAATGTTTGAATGAATGAGCAATGAACTTTTGTATGGGCAATAAAGTGAGATTGCAAGGGCTCTTGTGGTGCAGTTGGAGTGTGCCTACCTTTGAGCTGGGTAGGCCTAAATTCAAGTCCCACCTGCTCCAGAGGTGTGTTATACTATCTTGGAATAGATTGATTAGAAAACACTGAAGTGAGAGTTTGGATTACACTACAATGGCCTGTTACTCATTTGCACTTTGCAAACAAGCAGGATGTTTTGCTGGTGACAAAATCCCTACAGCGTGAGAAACGGCCATTGGGCCCATCAGGTCTGCACTGACTCTCCAAACAGCATCCTACCCAGACACTGGCCCCCATCCTATCCCTGTAACCCTGTGTTTCCCATGGCTAATCCTGCTAGCCGGCACATCCCTGGACACCACGGGCAATTTAGCATGGCCAATCCACCTAGCCTGCACATCTTTGGACTGAGGGAGGAAACCAGGGTGCCCGGAGGAAACCCACACAGACACAGGGAGAATGCGCAAACTCTACACAGATGTTGGCCAAGGGTGAAATTGAACCCGAGTCCCTGGTGCTGTGAGGCAGCAGTGCTAGCCACTGAGTCACTATGCTGCTCCATACGCAAAACGGTACTTTCAGGTATGATGTGAAAAAGAAGAGAAACATGTTACATCTATTTACCTGCAAGAACAACAGTAATTATTTCTTCACCACTTCCAGATGCAGTGCTGACATAACACTGGTATTTTCCACTGTGTTTTAGCTTTACTCCTTCTAGTCTTAGGGAAGCATTTCCACTTTTAAACTCTTCTGGGAATAAACTTGTTATGCCGGAATAATTAGGATTCTGCTTGTTTAGCTGGTCTCTCCCATAATAGTAACTGTGGACAACCTTACTGGTGTTGGCAAGCTGCCAGTTGATAACGATGTTCTTCAAAGGTGACTCTTCAGTCACAGTGAAATTGCATTCCAGCACAACATCTTGGTTAAGGATAACTATTACTTGCTCTTTAGGCATTAGGACTTCGAATCCCTCTGTAAATTAAACAGGATAAATAAAATGTCAGCAAATCTGATACAAAACCAGAAAACACTCAAGGAATCCATAGCAACAGTTGTAATAAAAAGCCCTGCATTTACAGGAGAGGTATCAGATGGGCCAAGGTTGGTACTTAAGGATTCCCTCCTGTCACCACTAAGATTTTTACCATGAGCTGTCAGAATAAGTCTCTGCTATGGAGCTGGCCGAGATCTCACCTGTTTCAACACACTGTGCTTAACAAAGCAGTAAACACCCCTTTCGCCTTGCTCACCCTGTCATCCTGATCCCCTGTCTGCTGGTCCTCGGCAAAATTCCTGGATTTACCCCAAAGCATCACCCACTGCAGAGTTTGCCAACTCTGACCATGCCCCTCTTCAAAACACTCAGCTCTTGCACAAATACAAATGGCACCACCAGAGAGATTACTCAATCACAGACTTGCAAGTTGTTGATGGTCCCCTACAATTGCAGTGGGTGTTGTGGAGAGCTCTGGTCTCCTGCTGAACACATGTTCAAATGTTTAAGAGATAATATTGACTCTGCTTCTAAAGGGTGGCACGGTGGCTCAGTGGTTAGCACCGCAGCCTCAGCGCCAGGGACCCGGGTTTGATTCCACCATCGGGCAACTGTCTGCGTGGAGTTTGCACATTCTCCCTGTACATGTGCTGGTTTCCTCTCAGTCCAGAGATGTGCAGGTTTAGGTGGCTTGGCCATGCTAAATTCTCTAACATTCAGGGGTATGCAGGCTGGGTGGGTTAGCCATGGTTCAAAACCGCATGTGTGGGAGCGGATCTGGGTGGGATGCTCTTCAGAGGGGCAGTTAAATAAAGACCTGGAAGGATTCCTAATTCCTTTTCTCCAGGAACTGCCTACAGTAGCCACCTGAGCTGCTGGCTGACAACTGTCAGAAGTGAAACTTCCTCGAGATAGGGACAGGCCCAAGCCAATTAATGCGGATTCATGATAAAGATAAATTGAGGTCAGTCAGGGTGGGTGGAATAATTGGAAACAGTTGACCAGGTCAAAAAGCAGAATAGTACTTGGAATCATAACTAGCTCGAGTTGGCTTAAATTAGAAAGAACATTCTAACCCAAAAGTATCCAAGTTTTAGTCCTCACTGTATCTCAGGTGCAGACCATGGAGCCTTGTTGGCCACAAAATAGAGTTTTAATCAATGCTCCCAATAACTTACCATTGACTAGCTGCAGATTGAATTGGAGCATGGTTATCATACAGAAGGTGTTGTGGTATTATCGTGCAATGAGTACAGTCCCTACCTCTGAGCCAAAAACTCCAGGTCAAACTGCCGTCTCTCCAAAATTAGAAGGGGGTGCTCACAACATAATGATAAGCCTTCCAATACACTAGTTAAGTGCGAGTGAGTCTTTTGTTCAGTGACAGCCTTGAAACTACTGTTCCAGGAGAGACAAGATTTGGAACACACAAATGCACGCGTCTCCAGGTCTGTACTGCAGAGGGAGGCAATTTGTCTGATCGAGTTCATACCAGCTCTGTACAAATACTGACCAATGACAAACAGGAAAAGCTAAAAATCACATCAAATTTCTTAAAGTTAAGGTATTGATGACTTACTACTTAATGCCAGTCGTCCCCACAGAACAAGAAAACTGAATTGAGAGATCTTTTGCATCACTGTTCACTTTGCTGAGAAGCTCCTTTAAGAAAGAAATACAAAATATGGGAATAAAGAACCGTAATTATTAAATGTGCTGATAAACATTAATCAACAGAAACTTTCCCAAGAGTCCATTCTACATTTGTGAACCTTGAAAATGAATCACAGATGGTTACAGCTCAGGAGGAGGCCATCCAGCCCATCCTGTCCCTGCTGGCTCTCTGCAGGAGCAATTTGCCTAGTGTCAATCCCTGGCCTCTTCCCATAGTCCTGCAGATTCTTCCTATTCCAATTCAATTCTTTCTTCAATCTTTGATTGAACTTGTGTTCTCCACATTTAGGCAGGACATTCCCAATCTCTATTGCTTACTGTGTGGAAATTCCTCCTCACGTCTCCGTTTTCTTTTTCTGCAAATTACCTTAAATTTATGTCCTCAGCTCCTTCCGCCAACAGAAACAGTCTTTCCCTGCCTACTCTGTCCAGAGCCCTCATGATTTTGAACACTGCTGTCAAATCTCCTCTCAAACTTCTTGTAAACAAGAAAAAAACAGTCCCAACATTTCCAAACTTCCTACAAAGCCACCATTTCTGCCACCTCCAGCGAGATGCTACCATCAGACACATATTCCCCTCCCCTCCCTTGCCAGCCTTCTGCAGGGACCATTCCCTCTGGGACACTCTGGTCCAATCCTCCTTCACTCCCAACACATCCTCACGGCACCTTTCCCTGCAACTCCAGAAGGTGCAACACCTGCCCATTTACTTCCTCCCTCCTCAGTATCCAAGGCTCCCAAAAACACCCTCCAGGTTAAGCAGTGTTTTACCTGCACTGCACACAATCTAGTCTACTGTACTCACTGCTCACAGTGTGGTCTCCTCTACATTGGGGAAATGTAGCATAGACTGGGTGACCACTTCGCAGAACACCTACATTCTGTCTGTAAAAAAGCAAAAGACCCTGACCTGCCAGTTGCCTGCCACTTTAACACACCACTGTGTTCCCTAGCCAACATCTCTGTCTTAGCCTTGCTTCAATGCTCCAGCAAAGCTCATTGCAAGCCAGAAGAACAGCATCTTATGTTCTGTTTGGCAACTCTACAGCCTTCTGGACTCAATATTGAATTCAACAATTTTAGGGCTTGAGGCACCTTCTCCCATATGTTCACCCACCCCCTACACACCAGGCCTCGTGATCACATAGTCTGCCATTACACACAACACATTGTTAGCCACAAATAGTCCCCATAAGCAGCCATTCATTCTCCCAGGCTGATTGTTACCCACTCCTCATCTGTCCCATTGCCCTTCTCTCTCTTTAGGCTCTATCTCCACCTATCGTTTACTCCATAGCCCGCCCCCTCCTCACACTCTATCTTCTGCATACGGTCAAGGAAGCACAACAACACCTCTACTTCCTCAGGAGGCTAAGGAAATTCAGCATGTCCATAAAGACTCTTACAAATTTTTACAGATGCATTACAGAAAGCATCCTATCTGGATGCATTGCAGCGTGATACAGCAACAGCTCTTCATAAGACTGAAAGAAACCAGAGAGTTGTGATCACAACTCAGTCCATTACTCAAACTAGCCTCCCAACCAGTGACTTCATCTGGACTTCCAGCTGCATCAGGAAAACAACCAACATAATCAAAGACCCCTCTCAACCCAGTTATACTCACTTCCACCATTTTTTGCTGGGTACAAGATATAAATATTTGATTACATGCACAAACTGATTCAAGAGCAATTTCTTCCCCACTGCTATCAGGCTTTTGAATGAACCTCTTTAATGTTAATCTCTCTCTCTCTCTGCACCTTCTCGGCAGCTGAAACACTGTACCCTGCAATGTGTTGTTACCCTTATGCGCTGGTATAACAGTATCTGCCTGTATAGCACATTTAGACAACACTTTTCATTGTACCTCGGTACACGTGACAGTAATAAAACAAAAATAAAAAAAAAACATTTTGCTAGCTATCATCAGTTTTGAAGAGTCACAGGACCAGAAACAAACTGATTTCTCTCCATGTATGCTGCCAAGCTTTCTCAGCAATTTCTGTTTTTGCTCCCAACTTTTCCGATCTTCCGGCATAACTGAGGGAACTCAATCCCGTGATTGCTTCCGTCTCCCTCTCCGATGATATCTTTCCCAGAGTATAACGCCCAGAGATGGGGCGTTGTCTGTAAATTAGACATGGGCGGGCGGCTATTCGGCAAAAGGAGGCATCACAGCCTGGTCTCACTGCCGTCGCTTGATGGGCCGAATGGAATCCAGGCAACGTTGGGGATTACGGCGTGGAATTCGATTCGATTCAAAACATTGCCGAAGAGACCAAAATTGTTAAAGTCAACGCCCAGCCCTCCCTTCCCCAGACTAAAAGCAATTCCGTTTCTAACTCCTGCACGGAGCACGGGAGGGTTAATAACGGGGCTCGCTCCTGCAAACTTTCACACTGGAGCCTGGACTAACAACCCAACTGCAACGTGAAGGAAGCACAGCCAGACTCGCAAAGGTTAACCAGCAGCAATATGCTTACCTTCTGGAGCCGGTTTCCTCGGGATCGAGCACGTTAATAACCCCGGGACACTGCTATCGCAGGAGAGGGACGGTATGAGCTAATACTGCGCTGTTTTGTCTTTAAACTTATCTCTGACGCAGCCATGTCCCTGTAACCATGGGCTGTTCCTCTTGGCAACGGGATCCGTATCAAAACAAAACACAACACAACAACCCACTGCTCTAATCCCGTTTAGTACCAGCTCTGAATATACAGCCCAGACCGAATTACAGTGAAACTGACGATTTAACCCTTATGATTTTTACAAACAAAACTTCGGCGATTCCGACATTCATTCTGCTGTCTCAGGAATGAAACTCTTCGGCTTTTCCTGGGAAGGTATCCCAGGATTCAGCCAACCGAATCCCTTTTCTGATGAAGGGTCTAGGCCCGAAACGTCAGCCTCTCTGCTCCTATGATGCTGCTTGGCCTGCTGTGTTCATCCAGCCCTGCACCTTGTTGCCTCGGATTCTCCAGCATCTGCAGTTCCTACTATCTCCGAATCCCTTTCCCAACTGCCTGCATTGCCTGTATCTCCGTTTTTCAAATACAGGGACCACACATCTACACTGTAGACGCTGTTGCAGCCTCACCAACACTCTATAGAGACAGCTGTAACAGTGTGGAGCTGGAGGAGCACAGCGGGCCAGGCAGCATCACCTTCTGAAGAAGGGTCCCAACTCGAAACATCGGCTTCCCTGCTCCTCTGATGCTGCCCGCCCCGCTGTGTCCCTCCAGCTCCACACTGTTCTCTCTGACTCCAATGTCGGCAGTTCTTACTAACTCTATAGAAGGGTCTAGGCCCGAAACATCAGCCTTCCTGCTCCTCTGATGCTGATTGGCCTGCTGTGTTCATCCAGCTCCACACTGTTTAGTCATCCATTACTGGTTGCTAAAATATTCTGAACCTCTGGGCCTGCCTTTCTTCCCCCATTTTGTATGCCTTAGTTTTTGATTGGATACTCTCCTTGACATCTTTCTCATTGATTCCTTCTTTTTGACTGGAATAATTTTTTGTTGAACACAATTAAATATCTGCCACTGCTTATCTATTGCTATTCTCCTTAGTTTTATTTGTTTTCACAGCTGCTTTAGATAACATTTTCTTCATATCTCTGTAATTGCTCTAATTTAAGTCAGGGACACTAGTTTGAGACCCAAGTTGCTCTCCCTCAAATTGAATTTGAAATTCAGTCATGTTGTTCTCAATAGCCCCTAAAGGATTCCTAACTGTGAGATCTCTTATCAATCCTACGTCATTTCACATTGCTAGATCTAAGATAGTCTCTTCCTGGGTCAACAGCACCTCATATTCTGCCTTGGAACCCTACAAACCAATGGTCTCAATGTGGACTTTACTAGCTTCAAAATCTCCCCAACCCCCGACCTCATCCCAAGACCAGCCACCCCTCACATCACCGCCTCATTGACCTGTCTGTCTTCCCTCCCACCTATCCGCTCCTTCCACCTCACTGACCAATCCCCGCCCCTACATATCTACACTCACCTTTACTAGCTTCATCCCTACCTCCTTGACCTGTCTGTCTTCTCTCCCACCCTATCCGTTCCACTATCTACCTGCTATCACTGTCCCCCTCTCTATTTATTTTAGAGCCCCCTTCCCCTCCCCCATTTCTGAAGAAGGGTCCCAACTCGAAACATCAGCTTTCCTGCTCCTCTGACGCTGTCTGGCCTGCTGTGTTCCTCCAGCTCCACACTGTGTTATGTCTTCCTTGTTGGCTTTGCAACATACTGCGCTAAGAAGCAATCACTGATTCTAAAAACTCATTTTCAATGAAACCCTTGTCCATCTGGTTTGCCATTCAATATGTGGCTAGCACTGCTACCTCACGGCACTAGAGACCCAGATTCAATTTCAGCATCAGGCAACTGTCTGTGTGGAGTTTGCACAATCTCGTGTCCATGTAGATTTCTTCTGGGTGCTCTGGTTTCCTCCCACAGTCCAAAGGTGTGCAGTTTAGGTGGATTGGTCATGCTAAATTGCCCATGTGTAGTTTAGGTGGATTAGTCATGGGAAAAGCAGGAAATGAGGGGAGGCAATGGCCTAGTGGTATTATCACTGGACTGTTAATCCAGAGACCCAGATAATATTCTGGGGACACTGGTTCGAATCCTGCCATGACAGATGGTGGAATTTGAATTCAATAAATATCTGGAATTAAGAATCTAACGGTGACTGTGAATCCATTGTCGATTGTCGGAAAAACCCATCTGCTTCACTAATGTCCTTTAGGGAAGGAAACTGCCATCCTTACCTGGTCTGGCCTACATGTGATTCCAGCACTACAGCAATGTAGTTGACTCTTAACTGCCCTCTGGGCAATTAGGGATGGGCAATAGCAATAAATGCTGCCTGGTCAGTGACACCCTCAACAGGGATAGAGTAGTGGGGTGGATCTGGGTGGGATGTTCCTGAGAGTGCTGGTGTGGATTAAATGGGCTGGATGGCCTGCTTCCACACTGTAGGGATTCTAACAGAAACCAAGTGAGATACAAATATCAGAAGATGACAGAGTTTACCATATCATTAACCTTACCCAGCATGTCAGTGGTATAAAGCAATCAGAAGCTTTTATGACCATTAATAACATCTGTCCTGAAAAGGCAGGATGGCACACTAATAGCAGAAATCGACACAGAAGCCAGTACTAATAAATTACCATTATGTATCCTGAAGGACATGTATATCAGCAAGTGGTGCTTCATGCTGCAGCCTATGAGAGACTCTCTGACTTTGCTGCAAAGAACAGTAATTCTGCTATCTCCTATCATTAGGACATTTCCTCTATTCTACCATCCATCCCCACAACCTGTATTATTCTGTGCCAATGAGATATTTCATTTCTTAGAATCCCTACAGTTCATTTAGCCCATTGAGTTTGCACCAACCCTCCCACCCAATCGGTATATTTCCCATTGCTAATTCACTTAGCCTGAGCAACCAACATTATGGACACAAAAACAGCACAGAAGTTGCTGGAAAAGCTCAGCAGGTCTGGCAGCATTTGTGAAGGAAAAATCAGCACTGAGGAAGGGTCACCAGGCCTGAAATGTTAACTCTGTTTTTCCCTTCACAGGGGCTGCTAGACCTGCTGAGCTTTTCTGGCAACTTCTATTTTTGTTCCTGATTTACAGCATGCACAATTCTTTCGGTTTTTATTCACTACTTAATCTTTATACTATTGGACTGTCAGAGGAAACCTTCACAGACACAGGGAAGAACGTGCAAACCCCACACAGAGAGTTGCCTGAGGCTGGAATTGAACCCAGGTCCCTGGTGCTGTAAGGCAGGAGTGCTATCCACCAAGCCACTGTACTATCTACCATAGAGAAAGGAAATACAACATTGTCAATGTGTTATGACGTATCAGTGTTTATTTCTGCACATTGCCAACTTTTTAAAGATTGGGATATTGAATGATTCTCCAGGATTTCCTCCTTCCCATTCTGTGTCTGCTCCCAGCTGCCAACCTGATACTCTAACAGGTGAAACTTAGCCTGTGCAGTGCCACACCTACCTACACCCACTGCCGAGCCTGGTAGCAGGTCACAAAATCCACCAGAACCATCCTAGCTGGTTTCATTTCAGCCCGAGGCAGGTTTTGAACTTATCAGATTACTCTGCTGTTCTGACAAGTTCTTTGTTTACCTGCCAACAAATGTGATACATTCACGCAAAAATAAAACCAAATAAAATGTAATCTGCCCTGGAGAGATATTTGACTTGGTGGAGCCTTGTGTGACAATTCAGTCTGGCTTACTATGCTGATGAAGCAATAAGGCTAAATATTTAGGCTAAATTAAGGCTTTCCATCCCACTCCTGGTGTTTACATCAGCCCTGGTGAACAGTCATCTAGTTTGAAATTTTAGCTTGCCCCTTCTCCATGGATGCTGTCTGACCCGCTGTAATTTCCAGCATTTTTTGTCTTCAGTACTGATTCCAGCATCTGCAGTAATTTGCTCCTACATTGTGTTTTATCGACTGCCACATCTCTTCAAGGAATGTCCACCCTGAAGAAGTTTTACTCTTCCCTCCGTCAGGAATTCTGGTTGTCTCTTTTACTATGAACATCTTCATTGCTTTCCATTTCACTGCTGGTGTTCACATCAGCTCTGATGAAGGGTTACCTAGACTCGAAACAGTAGCTTGCTGTCTCTCCATGGATGCTGCTTGACCTACAGTGATTTCCACCATTTTCTGTTTTCCATTTAAAGCTAAATATTACCTGCCTCACCAAGGGCAATTAGGGATGGCCAACATATGTTCAACTTTCCATGAAATAATATCAGAAAAGTATGGTGTTGAATTTTTAAATAAACAATTGTGAACATGAACTTTTATATTAAGTATTGCAACCTCAATACTCAAAAAAGTGAAACACTTTAAATGTGCAACAGTGTAAAAAAAAATGTGAAATATTGTCATTGTATCAAGGTCAGCCAGGTAGACGCCATAGAATATGAGTTCCCTGATTGGGTCTGTTAATCTGTTCCAATCAGAGAGCCCTGGCTGACAGATAAAAAGGAGTAAGTGTTAGTGATACTGATACACTGGTAGCTAACTCTGAAGGAGGCCGTACTAAAGTCAAGGACTGTTTGTGTGTAAATAAAGGGTGACTTGGTGACGGGATATCGGCCTCAGTGGAGTTATTTCAGTCGTGATGGGAGTAAAGCACGTTCCTGAAGAAACTCGCTCGCAACAGTCATCTTTGAATTGGGGTAAACATTTCTTACGTCATGCTTTCGTATGGGGAGCTTGACTCATTCAATCCTGCCATCGAGGACTGGGCATAGTATGTGTAAAGAATGCATTATATTTTCTGGGCAAACAACATTGTGGCAGATGGGAAACAGCGAATAATTCTCCTGACAGCCTGTGGAGCTGCTGCTTTATCTGTCATCAGGAGCCTAATGTTCCCTGAGGCACCAGATGCTAAAACCTTTCAAGCTTTGACGTATATAGTTCAGGAATATTATGACACCCCCAAGCCTCTTCTAATTCTGAGACACGATCATTTTTACTCGGCAATTCGAGAACCTGGGGAATCTGTATTGGGACTTTTGACAAGGTAAAGATGATTGGCAAAAGTCTGTGACTTTAGTTTAGCCCTTAATGAGATTATTAGAGACTGTTTGGTATGTCGGATTAATGATGTAACAATGCAAAAATGCCCACTAGCTGAAGCCCAACTGAACTTCAAGCGGGTACTACATCTGGCTTTATCATTGGAAAATGAGGCAAGTGGAGCTTATGAGTTGCAGGGTATTCTGATGGGAGTGGACACCATCATAAGTCCAACTGAGCCTGGGGAAATGCCACTTGAGTGAAGACAATTGCATAGCCTCACTCAGGACATATCCTGAACAGAGGGACTGTAGGTCAGCTCACAGCAAAACCCCAAAACAAAGCCAAGCCTCGGCCAAATGGTTAAAATTTTCTTCAGAATCCGGGCCAGCAAGCCATTGTAGTTGTTGCTGGTAAGTGGACTTGAGACAGCAAAAGAGTTTCACTGGACTTAATTTTGAGTAAGGCTAGTATCCAGGCTAGTATCCAGGAGGCTAGTATCCAGGAGAGTTCATATCCTGGAAAGTCCACCCACATCTGGTTAGGAACAGTTAAATTGCTTAGCAACATCCAAATCAGAACCAATCAAAATAACCGTCTGGTTAAATGGTCTCCCGGTTCTAATGGAGGTCAATACCGGCACGGCTGTATCAGTGATGGTAGAACCAGATTTTAATAAAATTCGCTCTGTACTCCAACCCTTAACTTTGTGCAAGACCTTGGCCAGAGAACCTATACCGGGGAACCTTTACAGATGAAGGGTATAACTTCGTTGCCTGTCTGTTATGAAAAGCAGCTCGTTCAGTTAGCAGTGATTATAGTAAAAGATTCAGGCCCAAGCTTGATGGGGCGAAATTCGTTGTGAGAAATTCGCGTGGATTGGCTCAACATTTTTCAATTAGAAAATGGCTGCCTGAGTGAAATCCTAATTAAATACCCAGAGGTTTTTCAGGAA